AGCGTGTTATGGAGGAACGAGGAGGAGGGAGGGGAGAAGATGTGTGAGTGGGGAAGAACGGAGTGAGGAGGGGCTTGAGAACGTGTAATGGAGAATCGATGAAGGTCATAGAGTCGAAGAGGTATGGGGTGGAGGAGAAGGAGGAGGACGGAGGGGGAAGGGAAACGGTGATGGAGTAGCGCGGAGGAGGAGCGCCGTAAGGGGGCAAAAAAGGTGATGATAGATCGTAAATGGAGAAAGTCTCATGGAGGAGAAGCGGGAGGGAGAGGAGGAAGGATGTGAGGAGCGGGAGACCGGTGCTTGAGTAGGGGGAGGAGGAGGAGGGGCAGGTATGAGGAGGAGGTAGGAGTAGTGGAGGGGAGATTACGGTGTTGCGAGTAGGTGGTAGGAGTGAGGCAGGAGGGAGGAGGATGGAGGTGTTGGATCTAGGGCTGAGGAGGAGGGGAGAAGGTGGTGTGAGGCTAGGGGGAGGAGGAGGAGGAGAAGGAGGGGGGGAAGGGTGATAGAGTTAGAGGGGGGGAGGGAGGGAGCAGCGAGGTGGATGCCCCTGGAGATCGAATAAGAAGGTAATGGAGGAAAGAGTTGGGGGCAGTGAGGAGGAGGAAGTAGGAGTCGGGGGGAGAGAAGGTGATGGGTAGGGGGAGGAAGGAGGAGGAGGAGGAGGATGCGGAGGTGTTGGCGACTAGGGGAGGAGGGGAGAAGGCTGCGCACCCATTCGCCGTGCTCTATTGTTGGACTCTAGGGGGGGAGGAGGAGGAGGAGAAGGAGCTCGGGGCTGGAAGGTATACCGAGTAGGGCGGGGAGGAGAGAGCAGAGAAGGTGATGGAGATCGAATAAGAGAGGTAATGGAGGAAGAAGTTGGGGGGCAGGAGCGCAGAGGAAGAGTGATGGAGGAGGAGAGCAAGGTTGATGGGGTAGGCGGGCAGGAGGAGGAGGGAGGAGGAGGTGGGAGGTGTTGGATAGGGGTGAGGAGGAGGGGAGTAGGTGTTGGCTATGGGGAGGAAGGAGGAGGAGAAACGAGTGGGGGTGGAAGGTCGATAGAGTATGGGCGGGGAGGAGGAGCCAGAGAATGTGATTGGAGATCTCGATGAAGAACGGTAATGGAGGTAGAGTTGGGGGCAGCGTGAGGAGGAAAGAGGAGGAGGAGGAGAAGAAGGTGATGGAGAGGGGGAGGAGGAGCACTTGAAAGTCTGTCTTGCATACCATGCAATAGCCATGATTAACACTGAATTATACTGTAGGCTATACAGTTATACATACATTTAAAAAACTCATTTCTCATGCATTACGCTAAAATTGAAACAATCACATTTCTTTCTTTTTTCTTCTTCTTCCTTCTTTCTTTTTTTCTCTTTTTTTGAATTTCAGGGGGGTATATTTGTACAGGCCATCCCCCCCTCCTTCAAGATCCATCCCCCCGGGATGTACGCCCCTGCTGCGAATCACTTAAAGAGCGCGCAGGGCGCGCTTTTTAGGGGTGGGTGCAGGGAGGGGGAGTTTCATTTTAGTTTAGCTCTGACGTTTCATTAAATTATTAGAGAAAGAAGACGATTCGTTGTACCGTTCTCAACTCTTAATCCTGAATTTTCAAAATTAATGTTGGATTTATTGTTAAACAAGATTTCGATTTTTTTTAGGATATTTTCAGAAAAGAGCATAATGCATGTGATAAATATATTGACGTTTAAATCAACTAATCACCAAACAATCAGCATTTCATCATAAGATTTCCATAATTGCTAGCAGGACTGTGTGACAGGTCAGACACACAATAAGAATACACAAGTAGCACGTAGAGAATCCGACCCGTTGTACACAAAATATCCGTAGAGCTCGATAGTCATATTATTGTGTAGGTACGCATGATATGTTATGCCGAGCTGGATAAAGGCGAACTGCGCTGGGCTCAAAGCTCATTTCACAAAATATTTTTAAATAATTAAAAGATATCTTTTAATTATTTAAAAATATTTTGACTGGATATATCTGTTGTTTCTTTTATAATCTTTTTAACACAGTCTTTGTCATGTGTCTTTGTATGCTCCTTTTTCTTCCTACGTCCTCTTACTTTTTTCTCTTCTCTCTCTTTTTTTGGCCGGCGTTTTGGGGGGGGGCGACCGCACCCACCGCCCCCCCCCCTGGCTACGCGCCTGGCTGGCTGTCGCAGACAGATTGTTTGAATCACATTGCCATCTCGCAGCTCGCACACCCCCAGATTCCCCACTGTATACAGTGTATTATATAGTGTATGCAGCCCAAAGCAGGGTGCGGAATTAACGCGAGTCCGGATCGAGTCAAATACTCCCTGATTTACTGTCGGACTCCCTGATTTTAACATAGGCAGGAGTTCGGCCTCGCCGAATTACCGTATTTTTTTCAGCAAGTGTTCCAAGAAAATTTCCCAGATGTGCACCGCAAATGTACGTCCTGCTACGCAAGGCAGCTAATACAGTGTATACGCGCATTACATACATTGTATAAGTCGACAAAATGTCGTTACATACGCGTAAGTCGTCATTTTCGTAAGTCGACACAAATATGCTCGTCCCAAAAGTGTCGACTTATGCGAGTTTTACTGTATTTTAATTATAATATAAGGAACAATTAGCAACAATTGAGGAATTATTCTTTTATACTTGTCTGTTTCAGGAATAGAACTACTCCACTGAGAAAGGTGTCCACTGCAGCGATTGCAAAGACAAAGAGGAACTTGTTAAAAGTAGGTGGATCAAATCCCAGGGGGGGGGCACTCACCCCACATTATGGCTGAGAGGGTCTATGTCCCCCAGGGTACTGCCGGAACGTACCCTGGGTACGGTCCGGTATACCGTATATATATATATCTAATATGCCGGACCGTACCTCGCCTACTCCACTAACGAGTCTAGGGAGTCGCCTATGCCTACTCCCTAACCCTAATCCTATCCCTAACCCTAACCTTAACCATATCAAATAGTTAACAGGGTACGTTCCGGCAGTACCCTGGGGGACATAGACCCTATGGCTATGAGCCACATTATGGTAGGTATGTGCCACTGCAAAATCAAAAATGGGGGGCTCTGGAACTAATGTTTGTTGAATGTGGGATGCTCTGGAACTGGCTGTGTTCGAAAATGGGGGTCTCCGGAACTAGGATTTCGTTGAAATGCAATACTATGGAACTGGACACGCAGCAGCAGTTGACCATCCATCCATCCATATCCGCATGCGTTGCATGCATGCCTTCACGGCCCGGCTTCAATGTATTCTGAAGTACGATGCACTGGAACGGAAATGTTAAAAACTACGGTCTCTGGAACAGCAAAAATGTAAGATCTGCATGGTAACTAAACTTGTGATGCGAGATATTCTTAAAAATGTGATGCACTGGAACGGAAGTTTAGGGTTGAAAATGGGGGTCTCTCCTGCGGCACATACTTACCATGCAATATATATGGAGTGCCCCCCCCCCAGGGGGATCAAATAATCAAGTTGATCAACATCAAAACCTATAAGTATAACGCAGATAAACAACTTTTATTTGAGCTGCTTCGAATATATGTTTATTGTGGATGTGTATGACATTGTATTCTACTTTATACATGCAAATGTTATGGATTATCACTGGTCTGCATACTGTTTAGTTGTTTTTCAAAACAAAAAGTTTTTATGGTGCTATGTGTAAATGTAGCACCAGGTACATGTAGCAGGTTGAAATCGGGGTTGGTAGTGCACGTAGCAAGTGGCATGCACGCGCACTATACACACTTATAATATATACACACAACAGAAATTGATATGTTGAAATTGGGAAATTATATATATATGTACAGTGTTTCCCCTGCATTGACACGAGCGAGGCAGGCTGCCTCGTTCAAATTCTCAGCCTCCACACAGAAATTTGTCCAAAACACCACCTCGCTGACGAAAATCAGTGCTCTTCCATAGAACATTGCTTATAATGCACCAAATTGCACCATTTGTTTAAAAAACTGCTCGCTTTGCTAGGACCTCGAAATGCGCAAATGCACCAAAAAAAATCTACCACTTCACAGACCTTTTTGGCTAGGGGAAACACTGTATGTATATATATACTGTTATTCTAGAGTTCAAAGAACAGCCAGAGCAACACTCAACCCCCAAAAAAAAGAAATACTGGTGGAGGAAAAAGAGATGCGTCTCGTCAGGTTGATTCCGACGATGAATCTCTGAAGGAATTCAAGGTATTATAACGTTTCCTCACTGATAGTGTCCATGAGTGGACTTTGCATATGTCAGGTCCTAGAAAGTCTCTATTTGTCTACACAAGAGTAGATCAGTGAAAGAGCCAAGCAGCACCAAGTTCTGTCATTTTAATGTAGTGGTCAAAGTTCATATATCAGGAATTGCATTTTTGGTTAAATTCTTTAAGGAAATGATTTCATGAGACCAGTCAAGTCTCTTCAGTGTTTTCATTAATAGCTGCACAAATAGCAGGTGTCCTGTGCTGGGTCGTTCAGTCCTCGTGACTGGGTGTAGTGTAAATGTAGCAACTGCTACAGCAGCCATTACCAGAACAGCTGCACTTTTATGCTGCACATTTTTAAAATATCATACATTTGATATAATAAACAATGATAACATCGCAAATTTCCACTGATTTAGGTATCAAAGAAGGTGCTCAATCACTGGAACACTGTGAGTAAATCTACTCAAAGTTTTGTAACAATGCTGGTAGATGGCGCTATCACTGAAGTCCTGCACAGCACCAAGCCTGACTATTACGAAGAAACCGATGAAGTTATGAAATTGGCAAAACATAGGTAGAGCTATTTTGTTGTTATATGTCGCCTTGCCACATTTGTCTATCTATGGCATTAATAAATAGCTTTGTTTTACCCTAAACTTCTATTTTTCAGGACAGCAGCAGCAGTTGGAAAAATAAAGGTACCCAAGCCAGCTTATGCAGACTACACATCTGTTGACAACCTTCTTGTAAGTGCTAGTGATTCATGTCATATATAATTATATTTGTATGCTATGGATGTAATCCAAACTACTATTGATTAAACTAATATTTTCCTGGCAAGGCAGCAATATTTAGCAATTTTTTGGCAATATTTGGTAAAACTGTTAGTAGTTTAGATTTGTGCTGATATTGTTGACAAACGAAACAGCAATGCCAGAGAACAAGTTCCACAGAAGTTCCATATGATCAATTTAAAATACTCTTCCAAGTTCCTGTATTAATACATGGTGTTCTTTATGGCAGAGATTAAGCAAAGAACAGCTGGCCACGGAGCAGACTAAGAAAGATGAGTTGGAGGAACTCGTTGATCAGCTGGATGGCGTTGAAACCGAGCTGGAAGCAGAGTTACATAAGCTGAAGACTACAGACATGGAAGAGGTTTGTCTACTTAAGTACCCACCTACAAATTCTCAATCACAAACTGCATTATTAGAAAAAAAATCCAGAAAACTTGTTGTAGGCAGTGCTTGTAGCTTTTATTGCATAATTCATTAATTAATTAAAGACATCCGTATGAATTATTGTTAATCTGGTTATTTAATAAGATAATGTGATGGAAACTTTGTTTTCAGGTACCAGAATGGCTCCACTTGGACTATGAAGACAGCGTGAGGCTCGATACAACTAACTGAAACCAGTAATACTAGTGCTGTCTGTGGAAGTAACCATGTTATCGATAAAGTAGTTTAAGAGCATATATGCACTGTATATATATTTGTTTGTAAAAAGTCTTAATGTTCCTCCTGCACAACTGCATGTGAATGTATGAATATTGTAACACAATTGTAATAGAATCTGCATAAAATATGATAAGATAGTATTAAACATTTATTTGACAAATATTATTTCGGAATCATGACTTACATCAACACATATATTCACAATCAACAGGCTATTTCAGTAATACTTTCATAAGACCAGCAAACACTCCTTTGTAGAAACATCACAATTAAAGGCATAATAGGCCCATTGATTATGCAAAGTTGACGAATGCTACAGTAACTGGCACCTTCTGTAGTTAATAAGTACAATACCTTATAGCCAAACGTGTATTAGTTTGTCCAATATCACTGCTAATTACTAAGAAATGTCTAATTGAAATCCGTAAATCTGGTAATCTGGCGCCAACGCTAAATTGGTTGCCAAGCAAAATAGCCTCGAATTCAGTTAGGTGATGTCACATGTTGCTACGGGTGTTGAGCAGAGAATTGTTTGTCCCGGGATGCTTATAACATCTAATGAGTTAGTAGAATGTATCTCTGGGTGTATTCTCGGTATTGAGGCACAAGTAAATAACCGTGGGTGCTAATGAACGGGTACCCACATGTTTTCAATTTCGGACGGTGTATTCGTTTGAACAATATACGTAAATACGCGTAGTGCCGTCTGCTTTCCATGTTTAGTCTGTGGCTGTGGTTAGTCCGCGATCCCCCCATAGTGTTGCCTGTTGGCCCCCAACATAGCCTACTTCATTATCACGAGCATCCGTGATTCGTACGTGGATTCCACGTTCATTACAATCAGAGCTACTGTTACGTATACAGTTACGGTACTGTACTATCGCTAGCATTGCGTACGGCCGAGCATGCGTACGAAAATGTCCGGTGCACTATAAATCACGTTTCGCCGTATGCGGTTTCAAAACTGTAAACAAGTCAGTCAACTGATTCCTTGGACTGCGGATTTCAATTAGACATTTCTTAGTAACCAGCAATGATATTGGACAAACTAATACGCGTTTGGCTATAAGGTAATGCATTTATTAACTACACAAAGTGCCAGTTACTGTAGCATTCGTCAACTTTGCATAATCAATGGGCTTATTATTCCTTTAATTAAATTTGACACTTGTCTCATGCATGACTCACATAATGGTCAACCTAACACTAACAGAGTTACAGTGTACAATAAATATAAACAAGTACAGTCATCCTTTTATATAATGTAGATCAATAACCTACTTAAGGGTCTACATAGTGTGTACTGGATTGTCAGTCTCGCAGATGTTACATTTCCGTGCGGTACAACAGGAGACCAGATCATTCTCCCTGCGTGCGGTTATTTGTGGCTAGGTAGCCTCGTTTTCGTTTTATTATTACCGCCTCGTTTTCGTTACCAACGCGGGTTTTAAGAAACATGGCTGTGTTTCTTAAAGTTTCCCTTAAAAGTTAAAGTTAGTGTTGCTGGAGGTCGCCACAACGTAAGCTAATCAATTATAGCACTGTAGTTTAGATGTTCGCAGTATTGCTTACAGTAACCGTAACAGTAATCCACTGTGTAATGCCTGATCCGTGTGATGTAGTGCAGTTTGTAAGTGCATGTAACATTGTATGTTTGTTAGTCAATTTTCATTTGGTGAAGTAAGACTTGTATTTGTATTTGTATTTTTAGTTCTTACGCTATATCGTGAGGGATGAATAAAGAAAGCAAACTGAGTTCACCCACTCGAAGCGTTAGCTATCTGTACATCGCCGTATCTCCGAAAGCAAAAGGCAGCATATAGGCCAAGGCAGAATAGTAAGAAGTTGGACTAGAAAGCTGCACTCGTGATGGCAGAAAGGGAGGATATCACTCTGATAGGAGACGATTCAACCAAAGCAGTGGACGATGACTCTTCAATGCAGGACAGTGCTAGCAGACAAGAAGAAGGCTCGGCCAACGCACCGCCGGATGCTTCTTCTGACGTCACCATACAGGAACACTGTTTGTCCAATGCACCGGACGACAGCCCTACTGTACAGCACGAGAGAATGAGACGCCAACGAACTCTAACAGAGAGAGGGCAAAACCTCTACATGTCTAGGGTAGCGGACTATAAAAGCGAGTTAAGTCGTATTCAACAGACTATAGGCACGGACAGAGACCTTGCCATAGGTAATAAAGAGAAAGCACCTCTATTGGACATTAGGTACAATGTTGTCAGGTGCTTCGATCGATACAAGCATGTACATGGACAGTTCATAGGATTTTTAGAAGGTACAAACACAGAAAATAGTACACAGGAACTGATCGCACAACAGAGTGCAATAGACCGTGTCAGTGTTGCAGTGCAGACTGTTCTTCAAAAAATAGATATTACTGTCAAGGCACTAGATGGAGACAACGTGAACACAGATGTGCGTACATGTACAACAAGTAGGCATAGCTCTAAAAGTGGAAGCAGTAGAGCTCAGTCACGGAGTAGCGCAAGGCTTCAGCAACTGCAGAAGGCTGAGGCAGCACGTGCTCGCCTCAAATTCGCTGAACGAGCAGCTAACATAAAGCGAGAAGAGGCACAGTTAGAGGAGAATGAAAAAGTGTTACGGGCTAAGGCGGAGAATGATGAAAAGGTGTTACGGGCTAAGACGGAGAAGAAGAAATCGGATTTAAAGATAGAACTTGGTCTACTGAAGGTGGAAGAGGAAGTGGCTATAGTAGACGCAGAACTGGAGGTTATGATTACTGATTGGTCTGATCGTTCCTCACATTCTTCAGTGGTGGAGGAGGAATCCCATAATAGAAGAATAAGGGAATACGTTGAGGAGCAGAGGCGGAGCGTCCAACCAGAGAAGCAAAACATCACTGTGGGATCGGTACCACATGTAGCGCGAGATGTATCTGTCAAGACATCAGCTCCACGTGTAACATACACTACACCGTTAGTGGTTACTAGTCCCCATGTCGCTCCGAATACGTCATTCACGTCAGTGAATCGTGATTGCCAGATTGGCCTGTTGATAGGGAAAGACCTAATCAATGCACACCATGTGCATGAACAGTTGATAGGACCTCGAGATGCCCCGTTCGCCCAAAGGCTCGGCTTGGGCTGGGTAGTGATCGGTGAGGTTTGTCTAGGGAAGGCACATAGACCTGACACAATACATGTCAACAGTTTCAAGACTCATGTGATGGCCGAGGAACCATTTTCGAACCGTGTAGTAGAAACCTGACACTACATGAAGGCAAGTGCGAAGACAAGAAACAGGACTTTATGAGAACCTTGTATCATGGTGATGAGCTCTTCGTCAAGACAAAAGATGACGAGAAGTTGGGTCTGTCGGTAGAAGACCGAGAGTTTAATCATGGAACGTGATATCACAAAGGACAATAAAGGGTGTTGGACTGCGCCCTTGCCTTTTCGTTCTCCAAGGCAGGTGATGCCCAACAACCGGTCCTTGGCTTTGAAACGTGCAAAGTTTCTGGATGCTAATCTTCAGAGAAACCCTACGAAGAAAGAACACTTTATAAAGTTTATGAAGAAAGTTATAGACTCTGGAGCAGCTGAAGTCGCCTTGCCGACGGAAGAGGAAGTATGGTATCTACCAATCTTCGGAGTGTACCACCCGAAGAAGCCTGACAAGATAAGAGGCGTGTTTGATTCTTCGGCAGTGTATGAAGGCGTATCACTGAATGGCACGCTCCTATCAGGGCCTAACCTAACCAACAGTTTGTTGGGAATTCTTCTGCGGTTTCGTAAGGATGCCTACGCTATCACAGGAGACATAGAGCAGATGTTCTACTCTTTCTTGGTACGAGAAGACCACCGTGACTTTCTAAGGTTTCTGTGGTATCGCGACAATGACCCCAACCTTGACCTCATCGAATACCGGATGCGAGCTCATGTGTTTGGGAATAGCCCCTCACCGGCAGTCGCGACATATTGTTTGCGTGAAACCGTCAAAGATGCGGCAGGAGATGTGAGTGAGTTTGTGAAGGAGAACTTCTATGTCGATGACGCACTCACCTCCCTACCCACAGCTAGGCAAGCTATCGATATCATGACACAAACACAGCAGGTGCTCAAGGCTCAAGGGAACCTAAGGCTGCATAAGATAGCATCTAACAGCACTGAAGTCATGCAGGCATTTCCGGAGCAGGAGCTGGCAGAGGAATTTAAATCCCTGAGCTTAGACAAGGACCCATTACCTGTACAACACAGTCTTGGCATGTCATGGGACCTGAACGCCGATCATTTCACCTTCGACGTACAACTAGAGGTGAAACCTAACACACGGCGGGGAATGCTGTCCACGCTAAATAGTATCTTCGACCCCATGGGTTTCATAACACCCATTGCCGTACATGGAAAAATCCTACTTCGAGAGTTGACAAAGGGTGTCGACTGGGATGAGACTTTACCCTCCGAACCCCTAGCTAGTTGGGTGGAATGGAAGAGGTCTCTCAGTCAACTAAAGGACTTGCAGATTCCGAGGATGTACGTACCCTTGTCGCTCAGTACTGCAGAGAAAGTAGAAGTGCATATTTTCTCTGACGCATCAGAGAAGGCTGTTGCCGCCGTTGCCTACGTCAAAACGTACAAGGATGGAGAAGGACAAGTGGGATTCGTTATGGGAAAGGCTAAGCTAGCGCCTTCACACGGGCACACCATTCCTCGACTGGAGTTGTGCGCAGCAATCCTTGCTGTTGAAGTGGACGAGACTGTAAGTGAAAGTTTGAACATTAGCCCTAGAGTGTTCAGATATTACAGTGACAGCAGGGTTGTGTTAGGCTACATCCGCAATATGACACGCAGATTCTACACATACGTCGACAACCGGGTTGAGCGAATCCATCGTGCGACACGCTCTGAGCAATGGTCACACGTACCAACCGACCAGAATCCGGCAGATCAGGGTACACGAAGCTTGATAGCAGCTGACCAGCTTGCAGCTAGTGTGTGGCTATCAGGACCGGAACAATTGAGAAGGCGCGACAATGATAACCTTTCGGAGACCTACCCTCTAGTCTCTCCTGACAACGATAAGGAGTTAAGACCACAAGTTGAGGTTGGCGTCCGTAAAACCACAGTTGACGAGAGCATATCTGAGAAATTTGAGCGATTCTCGAGCTGGTATAGACTTGTTGCTGCCATCTCTGTTCTCAAACGAGCTGCAAGGAGCTTTAAAAGCAGAAGAAAGCAAGGAGCTGACAAGGGTAAATCGTCGGCAGTCGATCTTTACAAAGAGGCAGAGCAATTTATCGTGAGACAAGGACAACGAGATGCCTATTCTGAGGAAATTCAGAGGCTTTGGGATAGGAAACCTGTTCCCGATAACTGTGCTATCAGTCCTCTCAACCCATATTTGGACAATGATGACGTTATGAGGGTTGGAGGTCGTCTCAATCAAGGTTGTCTCCCCATAGAAGAAACAAACCCGGTAATCTTGCCAGCTAAAAGTCATTTAGCGAGATTACTGGTACGCCACTTTCATGAGAAAGTTGAGCATCAAGGCAGGCTACTTACCGAGGGAGCCATAAGGAGCCATGGTTACTGGATAGTAGGGGTGAAGCGAGTTGTTTCCACAATTATTCATCATTGTGTCACCTGCAGGAAACTACGTGGACGTTTGGAGCACCAGAAGATGGCTGACTTGCCTGCTGACCGCCTCGCACCTGGACCACCTTTCACGTCTGTAGGTGTCGACATGTTCGGACCTTGGGCAGTGGTGTCCCGCAGAACGAGGGGTGGATTAGCCCACAGCAAGCGCTGGGCTATATTGTTTACCTGCTTGACTACTCGCGCAATTCATATTGAGGTCGTCGAGGACATGAGCAGCTCAGCGTTCATAAATTCTGTCCGTCGCTTCGTCGCCATTAGGGGTAACGTAAAGGAGTTCAGATCAGACAGAGGCACCAACTTTGTCGGTGCGACCAGGAGTCTCAGGATCGACACCGTTAACGTCGAAGACAGTCCTGTCAAGAAGTACCTCTATGAATCGGGAGTTACCTGGATCTTCAATGCGCCACACTCCTCCCACATGGGAGGCGTGTGGGAGAGGATGATTGGTATCGCGAGGAGAATTCTTGACTCTATGTTACACCGAGGTGGTGTGAAGAACCTTACTCATGAGGTTCTCACTACCTTCATGGCAGAGGTATGTGCCATAGTGAATTCGCGACCAGTGGCACCTATATCTACGGACCCGGAATGCCCTATGGTTCTTAGTCCTGCGACACTCCTGAATCAGAAAGTCGGCGGAGACCCATTGGCATGTGTCGACTTTGACCAGAAGGATATTTACCGGGAACATTGGAAGAGAGTTCAAGTCCTCTCCAATGCATTCTGGAAACGCTGGAGGGAAGGTTACCTTCAGACCTTACAGGTCCGTCGTAAGTGGCGAGAAAGCCAGCCTAACATCAAAGATGGTGACATTGTATTACTCAAGGATAAGGAGGTGCCGCGAAGTGAGTGGCCCATGGGCATTGTTGAAGGTGCTATGCCTAGTGAGAGTGATGGGAACGTTCGAAAGGCTCAAGTTAGGATTCTCCGAGGAGGAAGGACTGTGAGGTTCAGTCGGCCTGTGACCGAGCTGATACGCCTGATTGACTGACTGTCTATCTGTGACGCGAATAGTTTATAATCAATAATCGCGTTATTGGTTGTGTATTGATTGTCTAGTGGTGATATCTGATAGACATCAGACGGGGAGTGTACTGGATTGTCAGTCTCACAGATGTTACATTTTCGTGCGGTACAACAGGAGACCGGATCATTCTCCCTGCATGCGGTTATTTGTGGCTAGGTAGCCTCGTTTTCGTTTTATTATTACCACCTCGTTTTCGTTACCAACGCGGGTTTTAAGAAACATGGCTGTGTTTCTTAAAGTTTCCCTTAAAAGTTAAAGTTAGTGTTGCTGGAGGTCGCCACAACGTAAGCTAATCAATTATAGCACTGTAGTTTAGATGTTCGCAGTATTGCTTACAGTAACCGTAACAGTAATCCACTGTGTAATGCCTGATCCGTGTGATGTAGTGCAGTTTGTAAGTGCATGTAACATTGTATGTTTGTTAGTCAATTTTCATTTGGTGAAGTAAGACTCCTGTATTTGTATTCGTATTTTTAGTTCTTATGCTATATATCGTGAGGGATGAATAAAGAAAGCAAACAGAGTTCACCCACTCGAAGCGTTGGCTATCTGTATATCGCTGTATCTCCAAAAGCAAAGGGCAGCATATAGGCCAAGGCAGAATATAGTGACACAGGAATCGGAGAGAATGTAGGTCTGAAAAAACAGAAAAATATTAAACAGTCTTCGACGTTAGGCGGTGGACCGTGGTCCGAGACCACCAAAATCTCTCTCGGTCCAGTTAAATTTAACAGTTAAATGGGGACCGTCGGTTCCACCCGTTGTTTTTTTCAGCCACTCTGAGTTACAGTATTTAAATAATTTTATCAAAGTATTTATGAGACTACTTACTGTATACGATAACTGCGAAAACAACGCGCATCTCAAGCATTATCAAAACGCACGAGCCTCTTCGTGTTTGTTTTTCAATTAAAGTCCAACTTGTAAACTCGAAGATAAACGCAAACGTTGGTTGTAAAACATCACGGACATTTTGCCGGACAGTCGGTTTCACATGTCTTCATTATAACGACAGTTGTAACGCTTTATACCACAGCAGTTCTTAAACATCAAATCTCCATCCGCTCATCATTTATTTATCACCGACGAAAAGCTTGACGTACTGTTGACTCTGCGTATTCTTTCGTTACACACTTGCAACCAGTAAACACTACACCTCGATCCGTCGTACTCACAAAGTCTACTGTCTGCCTGTTGACGCTTTTGCCACACCGACCCACCAAACCAAAAACCAAAACCAAAACATCCCGGCCTATCATACCGAGCCATACAATGATGATATGACTGTTACTGTATTCAATTGCTACAGCAGATAGAGGCGGTTTTCACGGAGACCGAAACGCTCGCTCGCGTTCGCTCGCGCTCGCCTTCTTGAACGACACTGCGCGAGCGAGCGCGACGCCTGAGCTGCGCAGGCTGAGGGCGTTTGCGCGCAAGTTTTGCCAAAAGCTGTTCGCTCGTGCTTGCGAGGTTGTTTACAACGATGGCCGACCGAAAAATCTGGCGAATGCGAATCTAACATTTCTGACGTCAATTGCAATCTATTTCAACTTTATTTCACTTCTTCATTCATTCATTACTTCTAAATCAATTTGTATCAATTTCGTCTGCTAAATTCGTTTTAACAGTACTTGTTCTCTCGCGATTAAAATCTGCTGCAGTAACCCTCCATGGGGGCCGCCATCTTGATCGATGGGACGACGCGCACAATGCGACGCAGCAGCGACGCTCGTGTGTCGCTCATGCCGAGGCAGCTGCGTTCGTTCATCGAGCGTTTTCGCATCTGGAGCGCTCGCCTCTCCTGGCAACATCGCCTCCAGATCGAGACTGATGATGAGCATGCAGCTGACAGATGAAAAATTAAAAAAAGGCCTGCTGATTAGGTTTGTTAGTGAAGTTTTATTGCAAAACATGATATGGTTTTTCTTGAATGAAACTCTGAATAACCTCGAATGTGACAAACAATTCAAACAATTAAGATGATGAATGATTATCGATGTTGCAAATACTATTAAATTTTGATAGTCTGCTTTGAAAAATTGAGTGTTGTTCCTTTTTTTGTATTAAACATGCTAAATGCGTGATTCACAGTGTATCACATCAATATAGTTCAAGAACTGATATTTTTGTTAGGATGGAAAAAAATCGCCTAAAAATGTCCAAATTAAGAGTACAAATGCAGAGCTAATTTTTATCCCAAAATGCTGGAAATGGCATTTCATGAAGTCTAGATTTCAAATTTTTTCCTGGGGGGCCATGCCCCCGAACCCCCTAGTTTGCCTCGTGACCTGCGGGCACTCGGATGCAAATCACACTCACACACCTCGGCAAGCCAAGGCGTGTGATTTTTCACTCGCCTGCCTTTTTCACAAACACAAGGACTGATAACACTTTTAAACTTTGTTTCATCGCTAACAACTAAACGTCATATGTATTCTTACTGTTATCATAGCAGTGTGGTAGAAGGTATATCATGAATATTTGATAGGTATTCCTACTGTTCATCATAGCAGTGTGTAGAAGGTATGTGATGTATATTGATAGGTATCCTTACTGTTATCATAGCAGTGTGTTAGAAGGTATGTGTGATACATGCTCACTGACGGACTAACGCAGATTTGTTGTTCTATTTTGCAGCTTTTTATTGTAGGGCATGTGGTAGAAGGCATGTGAATGAATATTTGATAGGTATTCCTAGTGTTATCATTGCAGTGTGTAGAAGGCATGTGATGGATGCGTTTTGTTCTTTATTGTCAAAAATGTCAAAATAATATTGGTCCAGTAAAATTTAGTCCGGTCCAGTAAATTTTGCTGGCTTGGTGGACCGAAGGTCCAGTGTTTAGAAATTTCATTCGTGAAGACTGTGAAAGGGAAAAAGGTAGTCAAAATCAGTGAAGTGAGATTCTTCCGATGCTGTGCAAAGACTGCACGGAAATCAACTCTAGCACTATTATATTGGTTCACCTAAAATGTATCATGAATGCCAATCCTATATCCGTATCCGTATAAACCTTGCCACGGGATTGTCAATACATCTCTATATAAGGATCGGATTAAATAATATATGAGGACCGGATTAAAAGGACAACCACATTCACATCACGAACACCTACCAAGGCTGGGAAGGAGTATTCTCAATTAGTAAAGGAAGCACTTCCCATATACTGGGGCATGCATGAAATTTGAATTCAACACTTGCCTATATGGATGTCATTTCACAATAGTGACAGACGTCAAAACCTCCGGGCAGTTCAAATTTCACAGAACATATAATGACCGTTAAGAGCAGGAGTCCATTATACAGAGGTGTGTGATAAAACAGGTTTGACAGTACATACGAACTGATTTTACACTATACGTGAATGACTCACCGAGTTCCAAATAAAACAAACAACAAGTAAACCTATTTGCATACACATTATTGTCATAACACCCGAATACCACACCAACTGACTTCCAGGGTAACTGTATTACTTGATTTCATGAATCAATTCTTAACTAAGCCAATTTCTTAAAGGAATACTTGACTCTAGGTTCTAGTGTTATTTTCAGTTGATTTAAGTTAAAATTACGCTACATTAGAAATTTAATGGTTCAATCACCATTAGAAATGTTTTTAAAAAATGTTTTAAAACTAACGACTACAGTTTGATTACAACGACGGTGGCACCACTCAAAGCGCACTATCAGAAAAGGTGCGCAAACGGACTTTTCAGCCAAGGGCTACAGACCGAGGGTGTTTCTTATTTATTAATTTTAAAGCAGAACGATTGCAATATCTTATAAACGACATACAGTTTCAGTTATCATATGGATAAATTTGTCCTAAAATGAATATCGTTTGGTTAAATAGCATTTAGGTATAAATATAATTGCACTTTTGTGATTAGCCCTCGGTCTGTAACGTGCAAAATAAATTGGATAATGTGCAACTTTTTCAGGGTGGCAGCACGCGTGATTTTTTTTCCTAGGTCAATCAAGAACATAGACGCTGCCATTGGTTGATACAAATCACGTGCCTCAAACTCCTGTTTTATGGTGCATTCTGAGTCTGTCACCCTAACCCTAACCCTAACCCTAACCCAAACCCTAACCCTAACCCTAATCCTAACCCTATTTAAAAAAATATAAAAAATTAAATTTTTAATTGTTGTAAAAATTAATTGTTGTTATTAAATTGTTGTAAATAAATCATGTAAATATTTGCGTTAATTGGAAAAATTGAAAGATAGAAAAATACAGAAAACAGGAAAATAATTAAAAAACGGGTGGGATTCAATCCGCCGACCTTTCAGCCTTGACTTTCGTGCGTACTCGCTCGGCTACCAGGGTTATTGGCATTACAGATTTTGGATGTGCTATGAATATGACGTGAGTCACGAGACTGTGACGTCATTGAGTGACAAAACAATCAACCAATAGCAGCGCTCACTAGAGCCCTATGTTCTTGATTGACCTGGGGAAAAAAATCACGCTGGCAGCCTGGCAGCACGATCGCGGGTGTCATGTCAGCGCCCAAAAATGAAGATTTCGAAATTCAATGTTGTTTTATGACAAAAGTAAATGCGTAATTATAGATATTTATAGGTATGTGCTATTATTTATAAATCTACTATCATAATATACTCTCAAATTCTAGAGTAAAGTATTCCTTTAAAACGTGTGGTGCAGTGTGGACTCAGCAACGAAGCACACTGCTTATCTATAGGCATGATTGCTATCACAAGCTTAGAGAGCTTGCTTCACCCACCTCGCGTTCGTTCAAACCATGTGCACATGTGGCGATTGACGTGTTTAAATCGTGACAGTGAACAAAAGATAAACGTGCTGTTTTTGCAAGTAACCAGCTGGCTGCCTACAGCGTATCAGGTGTCTGGTAGCTGAAAGCGATTAACTGCCTATGAAATAAGGTTACTGCGCATGAGGAGTCGCAACATAAATATAACTTGTCATAAAACACTGACTAGTTTTCTAAAGCAGTGACGCAGGCAACGTTAATCAACTGGCAGAAGCCATCTCTTCTCCATGATGTTTCCCAGGGAGTCAATTGCTACTAACTTCACTTTCCCATCGGGCGCACGTGTTTGAAAGGTTGACGACAAGATGTCTCGGACTTCATGCAGGTGTTCGTCCATGGAAAACGTGTTGGGGGTGTCCGATAAGCACCATCGCTGCACAACCTCCTGCTTCAGCCATACTTGTACGGAGCGTAGTCCATGCTTTGACCAGATGCGATTGCTGAAAATACGATGACGCTGCTAGACGATCTGCAGCCCGGATATACGCGCGAAGCGCGAACAGCGCCGCCTCGCGGCGCCTTTTCATCCAATTCGCTGCCCTCTATGTAGAACTAACTACTCGAAGCCCTCTGGGTACTACAGAAAGCCGGATAATCGGTCAATTGAGCAGTTCTGGCGATTGCAGAAGCCTTTCGACTCTGCACGTAGGGCGAGAATAAATCCAATGGTCGTAATTGCTAATTTTTTTGGTCGGCGCTTTACGTTTTCCTCTAGAAAAGCGATTTTCAATTTATTGAATTTAACGCCCTGAAGTTATTCTCGTACATATGGCGTCCCATAGATGGCGCGACGAGGCTTTTCCCAGCTAGTTTAGACTTGTAGGAGAAATTTCCCAGCTAGTGTATACATTTCCCAGCTAGTTTAGCAGATCTACTACAGATACTATAGATAGATACTGCAGGTACTACAGATATGTACCCGAGGCAGTTTTAGGTTGTTTAGTATTATGTTTATATTTCTATATGAGGTATGTTTAGGGTTAGGGTTAGGGTACACTTCTGTAGTACAAGTCTGGTACACTTTGTGTATACATATATGTACCTCGGGTACATATCTGTAGTACCTGATACGACAACGACCCCTTCAGCGCTAGTTTAGACTTGTAGGAGAAATTTCCTAGCTAGTTTATACATTCCCAGCTAGTTTAGGATGAACGGAGAAAAAGGTTTAGACTAGGAGAAATTTCCCAGCTAGTGTATGTTATGATGTAACGTTATGACGTACACGAGAGTGTACGAGATTCTACGAGAGACTCGCTCTCTGCTACGTGTGCTTGGAAGCGTGAGCTGTGTTTGAGGATGGCTCCTCAGAACAATAAGTATTATACCAACTAACAACATGTGTTGATCCATAATATTACATGGTGGCAGCGGTGGGAGCACCAGCACGACCGGTGTGGCCAACCAGCGCGCAGCGCGCGCGTGATCAGATTGAACGCAACAGCGTAGCAGCAACAGCAACCACGACATGAGATCAGTGTCAGTGAGCATACACAAAGCAGAGTATGTGAGAGTATGTGAGCGTACATGGGCAGAGAACAAGTAAGCGGTACCATACGGTTTCGCACGTCTCGACAAGTAGCAGTAGCATAAGGTTTCGCACGTCTCGACAAGTCGACGGTCAGGAAAACCCAACCGGACTTACTCCCTCACACAGGATGAAGAATGAGAACCACGTAGACACCTCACATACAGCGCCAAGCAAGGAAGATCGCAATGCTTCCCTCAAGGTCAAGGTCGATACTGGCGCGCAGGGCAATACCCTGCTGATACGCATTCAGACGTATGTGTCCACAAATGCTCACACCCGATGGGTACCCCAGAGCAGACAGAGTGCAGAACAGAGCCATGACCATGGCTGCATACAACGACACAACCATCAAGCACTATGGTTCGATCGGACTGCCGTGTAGTTACAACAACAAGAATGTTGTGGCAGAGTTTTACATCGTTGAATGCGATGGACCGGCGATATTGGGGTTACTGTCATCGTTAGCGCTAAAACTAGTATCAGTGCATTGCGCTATCACATGATGTACAAACGCGTGTCAATCCATAATCGGAAAGCCCCCCCTCCAAAGCCGATGTAGCCGAGCCGATGTACGTGTTCCGAAAACTGCGCGATGTTAGGCTGCCCGCTATACGCATTCGCGCGCCCGCCTTCCTTCGGCGCGCGAATGCGTACAGCGGGGAGCTATAGCTATATACATCCCGCGGTCGCGTGCGCCCAGTCCCGCGGAAGTGCGCGGCTTAACCGCTTTCGGCGGTCGTGGAACAACGCATCTTCTGCGCAAGGCCATCTTGTATCCGGTCTCTCTGGAATCATGCTGTTCAATGTTATTGAAAAGTAAATTAAAAACATTCCTATTAATTCCCCCTGCACAGACTGGATTACTGTTTTATGTACATTACACAAAAATGCTATATACATAAGCATATGTATATACCATGAGATAGTGTTGAATACAGATGACAATTCAATCAGTATTTAGCTGAATTCAAACTTACCCTTCAATCAGCCTTGGCCCTTTCTGGTCATTCTCAATGCTTCCATCATTTAGCCACCTGAAAAAAGTGCCAGCAACATTTACTCTGAACAGGTTACAAAGTAAATAATAATCGGCCTCATTACTTATTGAGTTACTGTCATAAGAGTTCATTAAACGTGCAAGCTAGTGCCACAGTCACTGCTACTGGCCACTGTTATTCCACCTCTAACCCTGCTTCCGCTACAGGGCCTGACATTAAGGACTGCCCAATTGCCCGAGGCAAGTGGAATGGACGTTCGGGCAAGTGCAACGTGGGTCTAACTTGCCCGATCGGGCAAGTGAAAAATTCTAAATGCATCAACAGTAAAAAGTCCAGTCAGTCTCCTGTGTATGTTATTCTGTTTATTATTTGAGGGTTTTTCAATAATCACATATACTAGTTGCAAAAATAAATTCAAACGGTAGCTTACATGTGGGGAATACATATTGGTACATACGCACAGACACTCCACTATTTCGGCTAGCGCAAATAGTGGAGTGTCTGTCTGTATGAGCGAGGAGGATCGATTGTCTATAGTATGTGAACCACGAGTGCGAAGCGCGAAGTCTCTTACGGCCGTTGTGGGCCCTGAAAGCTCAGGGGGTTTGAGAAAGCGGCCCGCGAGGCACGCGTGCATGGTTGTGCACATCGACGCTGCGTACGTGCCTGCTGGCAGGGCCGGTGTCCCGTTAAATTTCTCAGCCGGTAAATAAGTCGACGCTGCGTGTTCTGCGCATGTGCACCTAACCGTGACGTCACATGACGTCATCCGGTAAATACTTCAACGCTGAGTTGCGGGAACTCGACACTTGCGTCTTGACGTCGAGTACGACTTCTTCTACTTCTACTTCTATACTGGACAGTCCGTAAGGAATGAACGTCCAGGGCTATAGCTAGCCATATACTACTAGTTGCAAGGGAGTATATCGAAGACGGAGAGACAAGTTAATCAAGTCGACAGATCAACACAAAACATTCTTCACTTCAGTGCAACAGCCAACACCCCATCGCTGGATCTTTAGACAGTAAATTGAATAATCTTAAAAGGTAAGGTTCACACAAATATTCAGTCTTGACTCGAGTGTTCTAGCAAAATTTCCCAGCTAGTGTATGCATTTCCCAGCTAGTTTAGACTTGTAGGAGAAATTTCCTAGCTAGTTTATACATTCCCAGCTAGTTTAGGATGACCGGAGGAAAAGATGTAGACTAGGAGAAATTTCCCAGCTAGTGTATACATTTTCTAGCTAGTTTAGACTTGTAGGAGAAATTTCCCAGCTAGTGTATACATTTTCTAGCTAGATTAGGATGACAGGAGAAATTTCACAGCTATAGTTTAGACGTGTAGGAGAAATTTCCCAGCTAGTTTATACATTCCTGTAATGTTCTATTGTTGATGTATCGTTTTGGCGGGAAGGAGGACTCTCGGAATTCTAGGAATAAAGGTGGTGGTTGAGTTTGACATATCTGCGTCCTCTAATTTATTGGAATAAGAGTGATGTGAGGTAAAGATATCTACTCTAATTGATGCACTATGAGAGATACAACACTGGCGACGAGGAAAATACTATTTTGGTGAAGGAAATTATCTGGAATGGAGATAAATAAGATACCGACGTTTGACTGCTACTCTTGCACCCGCGACGTGGCGGGCCATCCGCGGACCGATGGCTGACAGCGGTTAATCGAACTGTTATCGCTGATGGAATAGGTCGTTTAGTCTGCTTAACGAGAAGAGTACGGACAATACTACGAAGACAAAGGAGAAAAGCATTGACTTCATCTGCCGGAACTTGATGTGCAGGACGGTTATTCTCCAACATTTACAGCCACCAGAGAGCTCACGGACATGTTACAGCATGCGGCCATTGAACACTGTATTTCTGGCCCCAAGTAAAAGTTTCAGCGTTTGCGAGACTAGTCACATTTCACGGATCACTCAGAAACCAGGAGACTGTGCAACAATTTGCACACGTTGAGGAAGGCGGCGAGAGACTGTAATTTGTGCAAGCGATATGGAGATCAGATCAGCAGACAGGGTGCTGAGCAAGTGCTCGTCGGATTACGTGGAGGAGGAAACTGCTGCGAAGAAGGCCAGGCAGTGACATTAGGCCCCCCCGCCCCCCCTGCCATGACCAAGTGGCAGACCAGTGTGAGATGAGTGGAGAGCCCAAATGGCGGCACTTCGACGCGAAATAGCGGCGAAACGTCAACAGAATCGCGGAGAGGACGTGGACACTGGAAGTCACAACAACGGAGAGCATCGAGCTAAATCGATGAATATACTGTTAGAGATAAGGCTTTATAAGAGGCGGATTAATCTGGTCATTGTTGGGAGCGATCCGAAATGCCAGCCAAAAGGTCAGTGCATGTAGAAAGTGCAAAGGGAAAATCATTTTGCTAAAGTGTGTAGGACAAAGTTAGTGCGGGGGTAAATTTAGTTAGTGTAAGTCCTAGTGCCCCTGTATCAGACTAGTGCAGTTCACTGGTCTCGTGCTAAATCAAGTTGCTACGGACATGTGCTTGGTGTGGTATTTAGCAATGTTGGTGGCATTCAGGTGCGACCAGGAACATCGTCGATGAGGGAAACCTGGAGGAATTAAAATCTAGAAAGATAAAGTGCAAGTCTGTGGCTAGTACGTACAGTGAGAATACTGTTCCCCTATGGCTTCTGATAAAACCATTGCCAGTAAGGAAGGTTTTGACGTGTGTATTCAGGGCAGGGAAATGTCGACTGAGCTGAGATGTCCTGGTATTAAAAGGGAAAGGTCGGACCGTTGCCTGAGTAGAGATACGGCGACGAAGTTAGCGTGTCCTCGAAAATGTGCATGAGATTGCAGCAGTAAGCGATGTAGCCATATATCCAACGACTGTATCGGATGTGTTCCACGGTGTGAAAATTGAAAACTAGCGCAAGTAAGTATGCCACATTGATAAACACGGTACGACCAGTAGCACACCCTGAGGGCGAACCATTCAATTTGAGGGATCCAGCGAGATGGAAAGATAAGATATTCGCCGATCTTAGGACATATCTATTAATCCAGGTTCAATGGTCCCACACCTTGGGTAATCCAGTCGTAGGTTCGTCCAGAAAGCGCATGGGTGATAAGGCTGTGTTGATATGCGTAGAGGCAAATGAGGACAGTTGATTCGTGCCAGATAACCCCTTTCTCCACCGTGAGAACTGCTCCAAAATGATGAGATGGCGTCAAAATGTTAGGCAGATTAGATTTAAAGTGCGTAAGTTAATCACCAGTTGAGAGCTGTCTTCCAGAAGTGTCGTGAAATCACCACATTGCTCTATCTCTCAGGGCTGTATCGCGTATATAAAAGATTGTTGGTGTATTGGATTTCGCTCCAGCTCCGAGCATAATTTCAACACGAGATAGCAAACGTTAGCAGGCCATCGAGCGCGTGGGGAAATATCGTGACGTATAGATAGTGCATCGACTGATAATTGAAACACAATGATAGACAAGCTACATGCTAGGGAGGTAGATACGAGCTGCGAGGTTCCAGCGGACTAACACTGAAAGCCGACAAATGGGTGGGGTTCAATTTGATATCGATCAGCTTGTAGATTCATGTTAACTACGTATCCGAGAAGGGTATAGGCGCGTTACGAGACAGGGTAAAGAGTCGGTTATGAGTGAGCGGAGAGCCACGTGTTTGCAGAGAGATGCGTGCGAAGCTTTGTTAGTCTAATTGATTTTTGTTTACATAGTGGTGCGATGTTGATAACCGCCTAGCTTCGTCTGTTATCCTTCTGAGCTCACTGGAGGAAACGGGACGCCCGTTAGGC